CCCCCCCCCCCCCAAAAAAAAAAAAAAAAAAAAAAAACACACACATGCACACACATTTTATATATGGTGTTAGGGTGGAGTAGCTTTGTTTGTCCTTTTCTTGTGTGCTCGTCAAAAGATACTTTGTTAGTTGCTCTTTGAATGGAATAAGACATATCACTTTGGAAGCTTCTTGAGTAAACATAAGAGGCTGTTCAATATCTTATCCGGCTGTGTAAACTTTCCAGTATTTGTTTATATCACAAGTACACAGTTAATAGACAAATAATTCCTCTCTTGCCTTGAAGGCCCCAAAGCTGGAAAAGGTAGAGTTTGGGCCATCTAGTCATGTCACCGCCAAATGAAATTTGTGGTTCAACCCATTGTCGTTTCAGCCCTGGCCAGCTAAGTCTTATTTGGCTCATCCAAAGGCACTGATGTTGCTGCAAATTCCATTTGTGGTATACTGTTGGTTTTCATGACAGATCTTTATGGTAAAGCAATCATGAAGAAACTAAAATAATGTGTTAAGCTGGTAGACCTTGTACATCATCTTTAGTTCCACATATCTGGTTTTCTAGGAGAGTGGTAGGGCCACAACAAATAATGTGCCCCAAATAAAAAGTAACCTTTTGATCGGATGATTATCATGATCGCTATTTTACTTATATTGGGGAGGAATTTGCAAATAAGATGATGGAAAAATTCCAGAAATCAGGTGGTCGATTGTCATATGATGAAGCAGATATTCCAGAAATCTGTTAAAAGTTTTTGTTCTGGATTCTATGATGTTGGAGACTGCTGTTCCCTGTAATTTTCAATTACGGTTGCATTATTTTGTTGTAACTTTATTATTTCGTACAATATAACGCTGGGCCTATTTTTAATAGTATGCATCTTGTTTTGGACCTGCAACTGATTTTTTTTTTTCCATTCTAAGTTTACGATGGAAGAGGGACTCTTGAGGAAGGGGAAACAGCTGAAGTTCGATTTATTAAGATTCAAGCTGCTTATGAGTTGCTCGTAGATAAGGAGAGACGGAGGCAATATGATATTGACCATCGAGTCAACCCAATGAAGGTAAATTATGTTTGTTTCGCCAGTTAATCACTTATCATATATGAAGTTCGTTGGTGAATAAAGGAGTACTTTAGCTATTTCTTGAAAAATTTATCGTTCTGTGTTTACTTTTGAAAAATTCCTTGAGTTTTCCTATGGATTAAGAAGTCTACAAATACAAGTATAGAATGACCAAACAATGGAACTGAAAATATCAACGATATTTTGTTATATTCTCATACTAAAGCAGAGAAAGCTGTTAGGACGTGGTAGATTACGTGTATTTTGCAGAGTCCCTGTTGTTTGATTGTTTACAATCTCAGTGGTTCCTACCAACTTGCTATCATGTCAACGAACATTCTTAGACAATTATCTCTTGTTCTTGTTTAGACTAAAATATGGGAGAATGATTGTTCCTTGCTGTTATGATCTACTTTTGCCAAACATGTGTTCTTTTAAGGTGCAATACTTCAGTTCAGTTCATCAGCCCCTTGTCCACTTACTGAAGCTATTATACCGTGAAGAGGCCCCTGCATCCGCCCTCCCTCCCAGTACCAACCTATTGGAGGTTGTTGCCAAGCACACACAAGCAAAAAATATGGATTGTATCACATGTAGCACCTGCCTTTGGAGTTAGAAAAATTAGAATTTTTTTCAAGCTCTTAATATCCACATCCTGAATATTAGCGTAGGCTAAATTCTTATTGGAACTTCTATTTCTTTGGGTGGTCTTAATCTGACCCAGATCAAGTTGTTAATTTCTGATGCAAAGGCCCTCTAAAGGTTCATTAGCATAATCCTTAACTTCGAAGCTTTCAGGAATTATTATAACACTCTTTAGGTAACGTAGCGGCTAGGAAGCACAAATACTTTTGTATGTCCGACACGGATAGAAGTGTCTTGCATAGTGAATTTAGTCAGACACGGCCAACACACGACTAGGACACGGTCAAGACATATCTCATGACTTTTAATTATTAAGAGGGGTGTATGATTTCTTTATTTTGTTTGTGTTTTTTGTTATGTAATTTATGGACTATGAATGTTAATTGATGTAATGATGTTTAATCAAAATGGTGAATGTTTATTTTGATATATTTCAATTTTAATCAAAAAATTAATATTTGCTAGGTCTTATTATTAATATTGTTATAAAATATGCTTTGTGTTTAATATAATTATTATCTAAAAAATATATAATATTATTTTAAATAGCCTGGATACGACACCCATGTCTATATCTATGCTTCCTAGCATAGCGGGCATTGGTATTGGCCCCACCAATCCCATGACACTCCAAAATAATGGTGCAAATCACCTGTAATGGATGGCTGCAACGGGCAACAGGCTGTTACGACCCCACTTGATAAGGCCCAATCTCCAAAAGTTCAAGATCAGAAATTAGCAATAAAACAGCAAGAAACTAGCCAGAAACCTGTGGTTTCAGCTTGCTACTATTCAGACACAGAAATTTTCTTCCTAAAATCCTTTCCTCCTCAATCCCAACTTCAATCACACTATTTGTGACTTCTATAGCATCCACCACCACGCAGGCTTTCTCAAAAAGGTGAATCATGTGATACCACCTTCAAGGACTTTTGAAGCAATGCTACCATTGAGTGTCCTCTCATGCAAGATCAAGCTTTTTACACTGATACCAACTCGTAGAATAGGGCAGATTGTACTCTATAGATGCAAAGTGCATGCATATACGTAGTATGAATATGAAGAAAGTGGGTTTCAGTATTCCTACCAATTTTTTTCCAAAATAGTCCTTGGGGATATTCTTCTTTCTTTTTCCGTAACCTAACATTTGTTATTCCGCATGCCTCGCCAAATGATTCTGTATTTGTAATATGATTCACAATGTTTACAAATCTTTCCCTATATCTCCTGTAACATGAAGTCTATTCAAATTGACCCAGGTATGTGTGAAATCACTAAAAAATCTAGATTATTCTGAATTTGAGTCTAAACTGCATGTATAAATTTTTGAGGAAGGCGTGAATGGGAAAAAAATTAATCCCTCTGGTTTCTGTTACCGCCACATAACATCCATTAGGCCAAGCATCCATTACACCCTGACCAGTACAGTTATGGAGGTTGTTATTGTTATTTAAAACCTTGCAGTTTTTGTCTTTGTTTCTCTTTTAGCTCTTCAATCTACTGCGATGTATATTTATTTGGATGGTATCTCATAGTTCAGAATCATAGGTGGGCTAATTCATTTTGGTAATTCACCTCACCCTAATCAGCCACCTTAAATTTCTAGTCTTATTGTAAAGAAAATATTCTTCTGTTGGAGGATGTTTTGTTTTCTTATACTGATTCGCAATTTCTCATCCTAGTCAATTTGAGAATTTTTTTATCTCATTATTCTGCCAGGCATCTCAAGCATGGATGGAGTGGCTTATGAAAAAGCGAAAAGCTTTTGATCAACGGGGTGATATGGCAATTGCTGCTTGGGCTGAACAGCAGCAACGTGAGATGAATCTCCGTGCACGCCGGCTCTCTCGTTCAAAGGTATTAAAATCATGTTTAATATTTCTGCAGTGGCTCAAATCATTGCTGGAACTCCTAATCTTTCAAACATTGAGTACCATCCCTACTTAATAGATATTATATTTCCCATAATTTAGTTATAGATATAGTGGGGTACAACTATTTTTGTTTTCTAGCATGAGTCAACTTACTGTTATCGAGTTTTAAACTATCCAAAGACTATAATTTCAATTTAATTAAAATGAACTTTTTTTTAGAACGTCTAACAGAACATGGAGGGATGAAGGACCCCCCCTCGCCCCCCCTTCAAAAAAAAAAAAAGGAATAAAAAAAAACTTTATTCTGTTTGTTCATCTTTACATACTTTACGCGACAATACCAGTATGCAAAAGCATTTACGGGGATTATGCTGAAAACTGAATGAGTACTGTTCTAACATCATGGAAATATTCTGCAGTTTATTGAAGGGAAGCAACGTCTATTTTATTGGTTGATTTGTAGTTCATTTGTTTATTTGAATGCTACTTTTAAGTTACAGCATTATTATGCTAACGCATTCATCTTATAGGCCACCATATTGAGATATAAGGATAAACACATCATCTGATAGATTTAATCACTGTTTCCTCACCAAATGGTTTTTTAGCCTGATCAAATAAGCAATATGGCTCTTCAAATTCTTTTTGCTAATGTTTACTGAACGTGCATCTTCTTGGATGGACTTTCAGATTGATCCAGAAGAAGAAAGGAAGATCCTGGCTAAACAAAAGAAGGCATCCTTGGAGAACTTCAATAATACTTTGAAGCGCCATACTCTTGTCTTGAGGAAGAGGGATTTAATGCGAAAGAAAGCTGAAGAAGATAAGAAAAAGGTTATCAACCGGCTTCTGGCAGCCGAGGGCCTTGAGCTTGAAACTGATGATGATGAAGCAACGTAGACATCTCACCACATTCTCTGTGCTACTTGTTAAAAAATAGGTTGGAAACATACCCTGAAGCTGTACTGGTCCATATTTTATTGTACAAATGGGAAAAAAATGTAAATATGATACTATGCAAACAAAATGAATGAATACACTGCTCTTGAAATATGCTGTCTGGTACTTTGTGCGAAAAAGGAGAAAATTAATGATTGGATTGATCCAATGGGAACTATACCATTTTGGACAGTAATTTAAATACCCAGGCAACGAAAAAAGAAAAACACTGAAATGATGAATACTGAAAAATTGGCATGAATAGCCATTTATTCGTCTCAAGTTGATCATTGCACAACATTCAGGGTAAACATATCTTCTTGAATAAAGCAAGTGTACCGGATTGTCTTCCTAATACTTTTCATCCAAGACAAGATGAAACAAGAGATGCCACAGAGGACATAAATTAGGTTCATTCAAATAAAGTTTACATTGGGAGAGGGGTAGCTGAAAAGTAAGACGTTTCGATCACCTACCTAAATCAGAAATCAGAATCCTTGATATAAGCAGAATGTCTTTCCACAAGGAGATGGATTAGCGGACACTCCACATCGGCGTCAGGCTGAGTCTTGTCTCGGTGGACTGTGATATTCCCAGTGCTTGTTACAACCACAACCTCCTCTTTACGGGTCAAAAGCTCATTAGCGACGACTGCATGCATCTTGTACTTTCTTAGTGCCATATCAGCCTTCTCTAATAGAATCTCTTTATCTGTCTCTAACTGTTCAGGCAAGGTGGATAATAATTACAAATAAGAGGAACAAGTCTCAGCGTCAGTCCATATAAGATATATACATAAATGGTATCATGTAGGGAATACATACATTTGTTTTAAGAAAAATAAAATGAAATCAAACCAATTGCAAATCAGTGTGGCGTTGTTGAATGTTTCTGATGAATAGGACAAGAAGGGGAGCCGAGAAAGACAACCAAAAGCAACAACCACCAAGATATGCAAGTGATTAGATCTTTCGATATCTTGTTTTTTGGAAGACCGCTTTTGGGGGCTTCTGCCTTAAAAAAAATTGGATTTCCTGAATCACCAGTTAACCAAAACCAAGCCTTGTCCCAAAAATTATTCAGGATTGGCAAGATGAATTCTTTTTTCACCCTTCTGCCCGGTGAGGGGTTATTTATCTGCCAAATTACATGCAATGAAATCCTCCTTTATTGCCTTTCTCTATGTTGTTAACTTTAGTCTGACCATTCCTCTAGCATTTCCACCAATTGTGATAATATAAAAATAAATTAATAAATAATAATTGCAACCCCCAAAAAAGAATTTGTTTTCAGTCCAGATTCGATCAAGATGAAAAATTGTCTTATATTCACCTGCATTTCTCTTGCCTCAAGTTTGTTGAACAAAGAAATGACATATAGATCATATATTCATGGTTCCACCGCAAAAATGTATCTATGGATGGTAACATTCATAATTCATTTCTCAAAATTGATAGCCCAACATTAGATAAGTGATTAGCCATGAATATTGCATGATTACTATACTAATAGTTGGCTAATTACATTGTGTTAAAAAGATCGAGTTTTGGATCTTACCTCCCTTTTGTTGTGTTTGCCTATTTTTCAGGTAAATAAGTTGATTTGAAGATTTGAGGGACTAACATGTAAAGAGGAGAAGATTCCGAGTATTAAGGAGTAAAAAGGAGACACTACAAAGTGTGTCTGCATGGCCATGACCATGTATCTGGACGGAACTTACAGTAGCTGCTTAAAGAAAAGTTGAAGATAGGCGTCCGGATGGTTGAACATGTGCGTCCAGACGCAACATCTACATCTAGTAGCTACAAGGCTAATTAAAGAAGCAGTGGTGGTCCGGACGGTTGAAAACACACGTCCGGACGTGATCAGCAGAAAGACCAAGTCACCAAGGTGCATCTGGACGGTCTAAAACAAGCATCCAGACGTGATGATGTTCAGCCAATTACTCCAGAATTTGATGTTGATTAGGTTTTTAGTTCCTAAGACGGTATGTAAACCCTAATTTTTGGTTTTTGTATTATTTTTCTTATGGATTGCTAAAGTCTCCACCTAAAGTAAGGGGAGAAGGTTTCAAGAAAATACGATATTATTTTTGATCCAATATTCTTAATATATGANTTTCCTAAGACGGGATGTAAACCCTAATTTTTGGTTTTTGTATTATTTTTCTTATGGATTGCTAAAGTCTCCACCTAAAGTAAGCGGAGAAGGTTTCAAGAAAATACGATATTATTTTTGATCCAATATTCTTAATATATGATTTTTCCTTTTAATTTAATTCATATCTTTTAATAAAGTTTTTACTTTATATAATTTCTTGATTCGTTGTGCCACGTACATTCAGATTCCTGCGAGTCAAATAACTGCTTTTGCATGCTTGAATTAATAATTTAGAATTTTTATAAGATAGTTAATTTCTTATTTATGATAAAACTAGGGTTTATTTGTTGAAAATTTTGATTCATCGTAAACTCCGGAGATGGTGAATGGTCGTGCTTTGCAATTAGATACTTAGATTTATCTAGATAATTTATCAATTATATTTTTGGACATTTTTAATATTATCACTATTAAATATTCTGATTGGGATCACTCCACAATTGATTCTCAATTGAGTTCAAAAATCGGATCACAAATAATTCCTACGTGGAATTGACAAGATATCTCTGATGCTTTAGTATTCTCAATTCCCGTTATTAAACCATACAATTTATGTTCTTCTGAACAAACAATTTTCACAAACCAACTTCAAAGTAATTTTATTTTATTTTTCCTTATGTTCTAAGTCATTCACAATTCCTCGAGGTACGACCTCAGACTTCTGAGAAAATTTATTACTTCGCACAACCTACGCTTGGGTGATACACTATTTAAGTTGTAGCAATAAGTCCCTTAGCAAGTGATGTAGGCACAACTTCTGCGGCAATTAAAATTTTCTTAGATTAATTTAATTTAGCTGTTATATGAAACAAATTGTATATCAATCGTATGACTTCATAATTTTTCATGAGCATATAAGTACACTCAAGTCACCATGAAAGTAAATTAATGGTGATAAAATATCATACCTTGAAGGATACGCAGAAAGCCATCGGAGACCACTCTTTCCTCAGCAAGGAAAGCATCTTTGGGACTTGAACGAGTCTCATATCCAGAGGACCAGATCTAGACTGAATTTTATGCTCTGTCTGTACAATTNATACCTTGAAGGATACGCAGAAAGCCATCGGAGACCACTCTTTCCTCAGCAAGGAAAGCATCTTTGGGACTTGAACAAGTCTCATATCCAGAGGACCAGATCTAGACTGAATTTTATGCTCTGTCTGTACAATTAAGCCCACATCAGTAACATTATAGCAAATATGAGACCAGATGATTCAAGTGACTAAACTAGACTTTACAATTTTGTGAAAAATATATCTAAATGCAATCAAATTCAGTAGCTGAGTTTTCCATATTCTAGGACTATAGACTAATTCCAATTTTTTGAGTGGACTTGATCACCAATGCAAAAAAAAAAGGACAAACAGACCTCACAAACAGAAACTTTTCTCTTATGAGAAAAATTGATTGTCACCAAAAATAAATAAATAAAACCCCGGATCTAACTTCTTTTGTCACCAAAATACAGTATTATGATCCATTTTATTTGACAAATAAGGGTTTTATACTGGAGCAATGAAAATACCAGAGGACGCGGATGCAATATAATTTTATCAAGAAGAAAATCAAATCAAACCAATCCATGAAGGCCACAACAACCACAATATTTACCACAACCATCAGAACAGGCATTAACCTTCCTGTCACTAAACATCAGAAGTGAGAGTTCTTACAACTCGTCAGCCAGATCTACTTATCTTCAGCGCCAAAAGCAGCCTGAATGACACAGGAATTGGGCAAATAATTTCAACAAATTAAAAATTACCATGCTCTTCCATGGAACATAGAAGTCAGATGCTGCAGCTGCAAGGTAGAACATGGCACTTGGACCAAGACTCCTCATTGATATTGCAATCAATTGTAAAATCTGCTCATTTATAGATATAGTGTTTAGGAGAAAATCCAATTCATTCAAATTTGCAGCTTCTATATCTTCTGTCATAAATAAAATCAGTCGCAAACCAAAAAAAGAAACCACATTTGCCAAAAGAGATGCTCACCAAAATATAACATGCATGATAAGACTAATATCACAACTGCATTATGTGAGTAACTATAAGGAGTTCAATTAAAATGGTAAGACTACAGGTCTGCATGAGATTCATCATTACTTTTCTTCTTGGTATGCCTTGTTACAATATTATAGTTGCCTGGTAGTAAATGGACTTTTTACACACCATTTTAAGAAAACACCTGTCAATAGTAGAAATTCTACCTAGATCTGTTTATTTCATACATATGAGGGTCGTCCTCCCGCAAATTCATCTATAGTTTCATGCCTTGTGTTCTTTCTCCGCGTTTCCATTGTAAATGAAGACGTCAGGTGTGTCGTTGTTTTCACTGTGGACCTCTTCTATTGGCCAAGGAAACTTCTCAAAATATTTTTTTATAAATTAACTCTGTTATTTGGTGCGTCTAGCCCCCTCTTCTACTCCCAAAGAAATTAGCATTTATAATAAGTATTGCAACTAAGAGGCACATTACACTTGCGTCTATGCACATAGTTCAAACACAAAAGACATATGGTAACTTTCCAAAATATCGCATCAAGAGTATCCAGCATGTTATGCATTGAAAGACTCACCCTACGTGATATTAACAGTGAGCAGCTTATAATTCACTCATGCAGATCAGAATCCACTTAATCAGTGATTAACATACTTCAAGATTTGAATTTGTTCCTTGGCACTTGGTATGCTCATCCAACTGATCAAAGAGGTAGCTTGCTTGTTAAATATAATGTACACTGTAGCATGCAAGAAAATAAAAGAAACGAAATTGCTTACAGACATGCATATATATGACTATTGGAATAGCAAATCATGAAAAAGAAATCACCAAACTAGGAGTTACAGGTTAGTGAGGGTTCAAAGATGCATTTATCATGATTTAACTATATATAACCTGAAGATACTCGAAAATTGTTGTAAAAGGAAGTTTCAATAAGAAGCCTCCTGCTACTGCCTGCAATAAAATGAAGTCTCTAAGAGCCCAACATAATTTAAAAAAAAAAAAGCCAAATAGGGATGACCCATACTGCATCATGTCCAGTTAGGGCCCTCTTCACTGCTTCAAAATGTGACTGGTGCACTGAAATATGGAACAAATTTAAGTTTCAGTTAAGCGAAAAGCACTATGTTGCTTTTTGTAATGTAATCAAGGAAGAAATTGATCAAACATATTAGTAGAAGATAGCCAACTAACGTTGTAGTAAAAAGCTGCAAGGATATAAATCGGAAAACATGCACCAACAGAAAAAAGAAAAAGGAATATCCATTTTAACAACAAATCTTGTGGAATAATCTCAAGAATTTCAACCATGTATCAGACATATTGTTTGAATATCTACACATGCTTTACCATCTAAGAGATCATTACTTTGATACATATCAATTGATAGTCAAAGAAGGGCTTTTAAGCACTTAGTTATGTTATAAGATGGACCTGCATGGCCATGCAGTTCATCAAATTAAAGTTCTTTAAGGGTTTCATATCCTATTTCTTTTTTTTGGTACACCATATCCTATTTCTTTTGTTAAAGCATGCCTATTTGATTTACAATGAATGTTTTTGTTGCAGCTTACATATTCAGCCATTACAAACCTTGAATATTTGATTCGTCAGTAAACTCAAAACATTCAAGTAATGGATCATCTGGGAGAGATCTACAAAATGGCTGGCAGGTTCCCCTGTATAAACAGCCCCATATTATACACTATTCTGATGAAAAGTATGGAAGGCATACTGATCAACAAGTGAACATTTTGGTGGGCCAGCATACTTACCTGCGGTATAGAAAGATGACAGAATATCCCGCTTTCAAAAAATATCTGCAATTTCATAATTTAGCTTATCTTGCAAAAATATATAAACAATTGGAACATTATAAGACCCGTAAAACAAGGCAGGCATTTTATTTACTCCGTGGATGCCGCTCCTCTATAACCTGAGCTAAAATTGTCAATGTATCGAACACATCGTCGCTCCAAAGGAACTGTTGTACCACCAGATGTCACACAAACGACCCTATTAACACCTCCACTTCCTGAAACTNTGTATCGAACACATCGTCGCTCCAAAGGAACTGTTGTACCACCAGATGTCACACATACGACCCTATTAACACCTCCACTTCCTGAAACTGCATGTCAAAGCAATTCACCTCTACTACCATTCCTCAAATGAGGTTGAACAGAAGAAAAAGTGATCCAAAGGCATTTAAATTAGAAACAAACTTGCCAGATGAGGAAGAATGCATTTCGATAAAATCCTTCAATTTACTTCTGATGTTTGTACCATCCCTAAGAGGAGGAGCTGAGTCAAAGAAGGAATCAATTTCTGCATATGGTGTTTCATATATATCTTCGGAGTTGTTTGTAGCATCCATGTGAAATGCCTACAACCATCATCTGNGTTTCATATATATCTTCGGAGTTGTTTGTAGCATCCATGTGAAATGCCTACAACCATCATCTGAGTCAAAACTCCATGACATTTTTTTTTTTTTTAAAAGAACAGTACCCAAAACTCCATGACATTGACACTCCATATAAACTACAAATCCGGATAACAATATAGCAAACCACAAAAGTCCAAAAAATCAAAGTTTGGCACAACAGGAACCCTCTTCATACTCTTTTAGTGCTGAAAATGTAATCCCAGAGAAACAATTCCTTAGTCAATAACAAAGTCCCAAAANTGTATCGAACACATCGTCGCTCCAAAGGAACTGTTGTACCACCAGATGTCACACAAACGACCCTATTAACACCTCCACTTCCTGAAACTGCATGTCAAAGCAATTCACCTCTACTACCATTCCTCAAATGAGTTTGAACAGAAGAAAAAGTGATCCAAAGGCATTTAAATTAGAAACAAACTTGCCAGATGAGGAAGAATGCATTTCGATAAAATCCTTCAATTTACTTCTGATGTTTGTACCATCCCTAAGAGGAGGAGCTGAGTCAAAGAAGGAATCAATTTCTGCATATGGTGTTTCATATATATCTTCGGAGTTGTTTGTAGCATCCATGTGAAATGCCTACAACCATCATCTTTGAGTCAAAACTCCATGACATTTTTTTTTTTTTAAAAGAACAGTACCCAAAACTCCATGACATTGACACTCCATATAAACTACAAATCCGGACAACAATATAGCAAACCNAAAAGAACAGTACCCAAAACTCCATGACATTGACACTCCATATAAACTACAAATCCGGACAACAATATAGCAAACCACAAAAGTCCAAAAAATCAAAGTTTGGCACAACAGGAACCCTCTTCATACTCTTTTATACGACTTTTACATTAGGGTCTCTTTGTTAAGGAATCAGTTATTGTTTCAGGGTTTATCAAAGTAAATAAAAGAATAAGACATAAATTTCCACCACTACGTTCATCGTCCACAGAAATATTTATATACTGTTAGACCTGAGCTAACATGAATCAGATGAAGCTAACCCACTATCTATACAGACTGAGATTCCGCTAAATGGTGCTATGATCCAGCTCAACCTACAATAAATCCAAGTCATGCAGAGATACAATAGAAAGCAACTTTCTTGCCCAATTAGGCCTAATATCTTCCAGTATTAACTACCCTATTCTTTGAAATTCAATAGTCATACTCAAATCTTCAAATCTTTCTGTAATTTCGAATATTGTACGCTTCAAAAAAAACATGAAAGTATACAAGCTGGAAACTAGGGGTTCGGCGTACAGGAACTACCTGGATCAGAGTACAGAGAGAAATAGAGTTTCGCCCTTTGCCTGCTTGCGCACTTTTACGATCACTGGTTTTTTTTTTTGGGAGGGGGGGTGGAGGAAGAGAGAGAGCGCGATCAACAGAGATTTAGAGAGAGAATATATCTGAAGTTGGTTGAGACTTGTTTGTGTGGACTAGAGAATACATAGATGCGGTTAGAGTTAGATACATAATATCTGTATGTATATGTGTACGTGGGGAGCAATATTAACCGGGCTTTTATTTTGGGTAAAAATTTGTGTAACAAGTAAACATGACTTTAATCGCCGTCGGTTCCCGCCAGCCGGTTCACCTACTGCAGGGACCCGCAACTACATACTATCCACAAACTTAGGGAATATTTCAACGACATCCCTCTAATTTGCTATATTTTAAAAGACACTTCTTTTAGTTTCTAAATCTTCAANCAACTACATACTATCCACAAACTTAGGGAATATTTCAACGACATCCCTCTAATTTATTATATTTTTAAAGACACTTCTTTTAGTTTCTAAATCTTCAATGACATCCTTTCTAGTTTAATTTAAACATCACTAACACCTCCTACCATTAAACTACTATTTCTAACAAAAAATATTCACCTAAAATACCACAAATACCCCTACATAACCTCAAGTAATTTTTTTACATAAAATTTTATGAAAATTCAAAATGTTAAAATTTTTTTTANACATAACTTCAAGTAATTTTTTTACATAAAATTTTATGAAAATTCGAACTGTTAAATTTTTTTTAAAAAAATCATAAATAACAATTTTAGTAAATAATTTGTTAGTAAATATTAATTTGTTATTTACTAATTCGTAAATTTTTTTTAAAAAAATTTGAGCCTATTAATTTTTTTTTACATATTAAAATTTGAACCGATTTGAACTCTAACCGAGTTGTTATCACTGATTAAAATTCTCTTTCGAGTTGATTAAAATTTATATTTTTTTACTTATAAAAATTCGTGTCAATTAAAATTAGATTTATTAAAATTTAAGTCAATTAAAATTCATATATTTTTATATATTAAAATTTAGGCTAATTAAAATTCAATACAAATTAATTAAAATTTGATTTGAGTTAATTAAAAATAATTTTTAATTGGCTCAAACAAAATTTTAATTAGCCCAAATTCTAATACATAAAAAAAATATAATTTTTAATTGGCACAAATTTTAGTATGTAAAAAAATAAATTTTAATTAGCTTGATTCGAATTTTATTACGTAAAAAAAATTAGAAAACTGAGGGGGTCTCATTGAAAATACACTTATCTAGAGGGGGTCTCATTGAAGATATACTTTATCTAGAAGGGTGTGGATGAAGTTTGTCCTCAAATATATCATGGGCAATTTAGTAAAATTACATTCTACTTAATATTTTTAATCTGACAGGGGGTGTCATTGAAGATTCAGAAATTAGAGGGAGTGTCTTTGAAGAAATGATAAACTAGAGAGGTGTGGTTGAAATTTTTCCACATACTTATTACTCTAATAATTTTTTATTATTTTTTTCAAAAGACAGGAGTGTGAGAAACAATTTATATGTCTATAAAAATTAAACTAACAGAGTTTCTATTCAAGTCTAGCCCCGCATTCGTTGTTCATGTTTGGCTCATTTACCAAACTAGTTTGAAAATTTAATTAGATGTTGTTTATGTTACCATTTTAGTTAAAATCGAGTCAAGCTGTTAAAATCGTTTAACAACTTTAACCATGACTAAATGATAAATGAAATTAATAAGGGATAGGATTGGAGTTAAAACCCAATCTTCCAACATAATCTGCTATACTAAATGCTTACCGAGCATGGATTTTTCTTATCTCTAACTTCATCAACTAATATTTATTATTATATTACTGATTTTAAAATAAATACACGTAATAAAACCAGTAGATCTTTAATTTTCATTTCACAAATATTCTGAAAAGAAAATTAAAACTTATAAAAAAAAAAAATTAAAAATTTGTCTCCCTAACATTCTAAAATATTGGTTGAAATTTGTTGGTATAGAATTTGNGAAAAGAAAATTAAAACTTATAAAAAAAAAAAATTAAAAATTTGTCTCCCTAACATTCTAAAATATTGGTTGAAATTTGTTGGTATAGAATTTGTGATGAAAGAAAAAGACTGTTAAATGCTTCAAGACAACAAAGTTGTTTTCTTTGATACAATGATGGGGTCTCGGAATTAATAGCCAAAGCCCAATCGATGAGTTGCTACTTAGATTAGTGAGTTTAACTGAGTATGAGGTTGACTTGTGAATAATGGAAGACACCGAGTGTAAGTGGTTTATCTTAGCCGAAAGACTGAGGCTACATTCATTGTAATTGAGTCTTTTGCTCCTTAAGGTCGTTTATTGAGATGAGATGAGTATATTGAGATTGTTGGCACTGAGCATTTACAAGGACTTATGTTTTGTTCGTTGTGTATCTAGGCTGAGAAATACAATGGGGGAGATCCCCTATTGGTAGGTTGACACTGTTCTATTTATATTAGTCTTTCCTTCTAGGGTTCCCGATGGCTCCTTCTACCTTTCTATTGATTCTGCAGGCTCTCTAGTCACTGTCCTGCAACAGTTTTTGCTGTTCGGTGCTGCTATGCCCATGATCTCTGGATCGTTATGCACACCATCACTCTCTATGTCTGAGAGGGTGCAGTTGCCACATGCATCAGAGATTGTCTCCCTGTCTTTTGGACACGTGGTATGGCGGGGTACTCCCAGGGCGAGGACTTGACTTTTCAGTACTAAATTATCCTTTGACTAGTCGTTGAGTTGGACCTGGGCTGTGCTATTGGTCCTCTAGTGCCATTGGGCTTTCTCCTTTTGACCCTCTCTACTCTTCGACGTGGGCTGATTAGGGGTTCTTCCTTCGGATTAATAAACAGGCGAGGATCTTCTAGTCTTATTGGGCTCNTATAATGACTAAAATTTTATTTATGTGCATTATTTTGGTCATCTAGAAATTAAAAAATTTCACAAATATTCTGAAAAGAAAATTAAAACTTATAAAAAAAAAAATTAAAAATTTATCTCCCTAACATTCTAAAATATTGGTTGAAATTTGTTGGTATAGAATTCGNCTGAAAAGAAAATTAAAACTTATAAAAAAAAAAATTAAAAATTTATCTCCCTAACATTCTAAAATATTGGTTGAAATTTGTTGGTATAGAATTCGTGATGAAAGAAAAAGACTGTTAAATGCTTCAAGACAACAAAGTTGTTTTCTTTGATACAATGATGGGGTCTCGGAATTAATAGCCTAAGCTCAATCGATGAGTTGCTGCTTAGATTAGTGAGTTTAACTGAGTATGAGGTTGACTTGTGAATAATGGAAGACACCGAATGTAAGTGGTTTATCTTAGCCGAAAGACTGAGGCTACATTCATTGTAATGGAGTCTCTTGCTCCTTAAGGTCGTTTATTGAGATGAGATGAGTATATTGAGATTGTTGGCACTGAGCATTTACAAGGACTTATGTTTTGTTCGTTGTGTATCTAGGCTGAGAAATACAATGGGGGAGATCCCCTATTGATAGGTTGACACTGTTCTATTTATATCAGTCTTTCCTTCTAGGGTTCCCGATGGCTCCTTCTACCTTTCTATTGATTCTGCAGGCTCTCTGGTCACTGTCCTGCAACAGTTTTTGCAGTTCGGTGCTGCTATGCCCATGATCTCTATATCGTTATGCACACCATCACTCTCTATGTCTGAGAGGGTGCAGTTGCCACAGGCATCAGAGATTGTCTCCCTGTTTTTTGGACACGTGGCATGGCGGGATACTCCCAGGGCGAGGACTTGACTTTTTAGTACTAAATTATCCTTTGACTAGTCGTTGAGTTGGACCTGGACTGTGCTATTGGTTCTCTAGTGCCATTGGGCTTTCTCCTTTTGACCCTCTCTACTCTTCGACGTGGGCTGATTAGGGGTTCTTCCTTCGGATTAATAAACAGGCGAGGATCTTCTAGTCTTATTGGGCTCCAGGGTTATGACTGCCCATGTCTAAAATTCCGCCCTTATCATACAACATTTGTTTCTACCAATTCTAAAATTACTATGCACTAGTTTACAACAAATATAATGAAGTTCAGAATTAATCTGAGTTTTAACTGTATTATATACCCACAAAATCAATCCAAGAAACCTTCAAATTATTCTAATAAGCCAATATAATAGAAATATGTTTATGTANTAATGAAGTTCAGAATTAATCTGAGTTTTAACTGTATTATATACCCACAAAATCAAACCAAGAAACCTTCAAATTATTCTAATAAGCCAATATAATAGAAATATGTTTATGTAGACAAAAGATTTCAATAAAAAGAAAATCGAGAATAAAAGATATAAAATGTTCAAGTCTTTGGAGAGAGAGATTGTATTGATTCAAGTATGACTGCAATATCAAATTTCAGTCTATTTATAGGCACAATGGTTTCCTTTCAAGTGGTTATTTGAGTACTCATGATGTCTGTTCTAAACGTTCACCTTGACTTTGATTATTTATTCAGTTGAAATAACAGAAATTTGAATATTCAAAAATAACTGTCACTAATTAAATATTTTCAGGCTTAACTATAACCATTTGATCACACCTCTTAAGGGTCTACAATCCAGATCTAACCATCATGATCCGTAATCTGATTATAGATTACAATCAAATACCAGACACAAATGCATCATCTGATCATGCGGGTATATGAAGTCAATCATTCAATCAAAAATAATTAAAAAATAAATGGTCATGACCTGATTGTTGATCACTACAAGTCTTACATGCCAATTGCACCTCTAAAGTGTCATAAATGTGCCTCTAGCATCAGCGATGACAATGAACCGAGAAAAAACAGGAATTCGTTTAAACTCGCTTCGTTTGAACCGAATGATGGACCATACATATTGAACAACAGACGTATATGGAGATATGCAATAATGGGGTGAAGATGGACCGAAATTTATCCTTGCCCTTTCGTTTCTAAACTCGTTAGCTTTATAAATATATATATAATGATGAATTCAAAAAAGAGAAAGGAAAAAAGGCAAAAGTGCAAAATTGAAGATCTAAAACCCTAAATCAATTTTTTTTTTGGCCAAAATGTNATATATATATA